CGGCGGGGAGCGAGGAAGGCAGCGCCTGGAAGTCCAAGGACATCCTGGTGGACCTGAGCCACTTGGAGGGCGCAGACGCCGGCGAGGAAGACCTGGAGCAGCAGTTTCACTACCACCTGCGGGGGCTGCACACCGTGCTCTCCAAACTCACTCGCAAAGCCAACATCCTCACAAACAGATACAAGCAGGAGATCGGCTTTGGCAACTGGGGCCACTGAGGCGGGGCCTCGGCCGCTGCCCAGCACCTTCTCCAGCCTCATCTCTCACCTTCTTTCTTTCCTCAAAGCTATTTTCTTCCTGGCTGTGGGGCGCGAAGGGTGGACTGTGAAGTTGGGCGACTGTGTATGTGCAGGGGGCACGGCGAGGCTGTGGAGGAGGGGGCCTCGTTCCTGAGCGGAGAAGAAAGTAGCAGCGGGAGAATGGGGCTCGAGGACCCCCCAGGAGGGGGCCTGCATTCTGTGTTGGTGGGAATGGGACTGGGCTGACGCCCCACATTCAGCCTGTGCCTTTCCTGGGGTTTCTTTTCTGTTCTTTCCGGAGGAGAAAGGCCCGAGAAGGGGGCGTGCCAGGGCGCGGCGCTGGGTTGCCACACTTGGGAGCGCAGCCCAGAGCTGGGTGGTGGGGAAGGCGGGGCGGCGCGCCCCCTCCTGCCGCCCTGCCGTTGGGCCAGTGGAGGCCGCGGCATTGCTAGGATTGCATCAGTTTTCCTGTTTGCACTATTTCTTTTTGTAATAGTGGCCCTGTCTTAAGTATTTCGAATCTCTTCCTTGCTCTGAAACTTCAGCGATTCCATTGTGATAAGCGCACAAACACTGTCTGTCGGTAACCGGTACTACTTTATTAATGATTTTCTGTTACACTGTACAGTAGTCCTGTGGCACCCCCCCAACCTATCCCTTTCACACCACCCCACCCCCATCCCAGTGTGTGTAAGCTGGCATTGCGCCAGCTTGTATGAGGCTTGCCACTCAGCCAGTGAAAATAATAATAACATTATTATGAGAAAGTGGACTTATCCGAAATGGAACCAACTGACATTCTATCCGTGTTGTATATAGAATGATGAAGGGTTCCACTGTTGTTATATGTCTTAAATTTATTTAAAACTTTTTTAAATCCAGATGTAGGCTATATTCTAAAAAATAAAAATAAAAAAAAAAGCAAATGTGTTAACTAAACCGGACAAGTGTCTGTTGCTCTTTCATCTGCCAGTGAATGACTTAGTTGTGAAATAAAAATATTTTGAATTGATATTTTTTAACAAAAGTAAATTTAAATTTCTCTCTGGTATTTCAGGGTGGTGGATATTCATCTCTGTAAGTATTTCATTTCGTGTGGGATGTAGCTACTGACAAGATTTACTGCCAGGCTTTATTTTGGTTTCAGTTGAGTACCGGGAGAGGACTATACATCTCAACCAAAAGTTTATAAATGCTCAAAGTATTGGGGAAGATACGTATATTGTATCTTTCAACCAATTTGGTTAGCTTATTGGGGTAGTGTTTTAACATTTTGAATTTTGTAAGATGTTCAGGCACAAGCTTAAGTGTATTGAGACATAAAAACTTTAAAGGCTGAGACTACTGAGAATTGAAAACTTGAAAAGCAAACCCAGCTAACATTAGTGCACACACCTTGCAGGTCTTTATTTGCGAGTTTTATGTTGATCTTAGGAGATACTTAGGTGTATTATAACATGAGCTATGGGCTAGCTCCCAACCAAATGCTAAGCTTTGTTGAGCAGTGTCTGGTAATGCTTCCAGTGTTTCAGGGAGCCAGTCTGCTACTGTATACAGCAGAGCTGATCAGGGCTGCTGCAGGCTGCTTCTCAGAAACCATTAGGATGCTATGTTAGGATGATGGGCAAGTGAAACACAGTGCCCTACATTCTTTATTTCATTATTTGTTCTGGGAGGATAAATGTCACATCAACTTCACTTTTCGATCTTGAAGTCATGAGGCGTTCTTTAAGCTCAGAGAGCTTAAATGTAAAAATGCACAGAACTTTGCAGTTAAAAGAAAAAGCAAAAGGTTTGTGGTGCAGGCAAGGCCAGCTCTTGTCTATTATCAGCTTTTAGCAGCAGTGAAAAAAAAAAACGGGGAAGTGTCAAGACTGGGGTGCCTGCCAGTTGCCAGAGAAAGTTAATCATTAATATAAAGATAAGCTGGGCAGCGCCAAAAGGAAGAAGACAGACTCCCACATGTCCCCTTTAAAATATCAAAGTTCAAGCAAAAAATAACGAAGGAAACTACAGGAGCCACATGGTACAAAGAAACATAAAGAGCGTGAAGATTGTGCGCACACATCCTCTTGTTCCTACTTATTAATTAGGTGTATTTAACTCTCCAAGATTGTTGTCACATTTGAAATCAGGCATGAAAACTATAATACTTACTCCATGGAGTTGTGAGAATGAAATGAGTTGAAATATAGTGTTTGACATTTAGAAATTTCTTGAGGCACTACTGAGGGGCCATGTTGGGTTCTTACTCTTACATTTTGGTTCCTGTCTCCATTTCTGTCCCTTGCCTTCTCTCCACAAATATATGAGGCTTAGGACATCATGTTCACTTTAAGGAAAAGCATAGTTTCCATTACATATATAAGACACCAGGTCCATTACTGTTCAAATTTATGAAAGTGCACCTGAAATAAAACCAAAAAGTCACAATTTGGGCAAAGTGATGGTAAGAGCTATTAAGTATTAGCTGCAAGTTGCTTTCAAAATATTCTTGTGGTATGGCATATAGAAGGCAGAAAAGTAGATGTAGACAACAAAACTAAACAGTTATCAATTATTGTGTAAGAATATGTACATATATAGTGATTGTGATCTAGGAGTAATGTTAAAGAGCATTGCATTTTTCTTAAGTTTAGAAACTATTTTTATTAGTAGCATTTTTTTTTAATAGCCAGAGAGTGGGGTTGGGAAGAGGAGCACCCCTCATGGGGCATGGTCACAATGCAGTCCCTTCTTCATCTTTTCAGGATTTGGGACACACACGTACCCAGCATGTTTTTCAAGCTGAGGGGGCTAGGATTCAAATCTTGGCCGACTGTGGAATCCGGCTCACCCGAACCACTAGGCTATGAGGTAGGCCCAAGAACACTGAATTTTTATGAACCAGTAAGATTCCTTGGCTCGGTAAGTACTATTCCACTAATAGTACTACCGTGGGTGGGGAGGGTCTTCAGAAAGTGTATACAAAGTACATATTATGGAAAAACTATGCATGGATTTCAGAATTTACACCAAAATAAATTTAGACTTTAATTTCATTTTCCATGAACTTGTTGAGGCCCCTCCATATTTTATTTCAGATCAGTTTATGAAAAAAAAAATCCAGGACAATTCCCTGTAAGATTCATCTGTTAAAACTTCTCAAGCTATTTGAAATTGTGCCTAACTCCTGAGGTAAAGTAGTAAAGTGACTTCATATTTTCAGAAGGTCTCTCCTGAGGAATCTCAAAGTATTTGATACATTTTAAAAATTGAGTACATGATGTGGCACCTCCCTCAGAGTTCTCAGAGATAATGGCCATCTGGCAGTGCCCAGCATGGCAGTTTATGACTGAAGGAAGGAAAGACAAACTGGGCAAAATGGAACAGCTTAGATTAGAATTGATTATCCTCCAATATTTACATTTGGTAAGACTTCTTCATTGAAACCTCACTCCCAAGTGTTTAAGCAAGTCTGGTTTTGCCTCTTAGAAACAGCTTTCTGCTTTGCTCATGTATGTGGAATTTTCATATTTTATATTTACATAGCGTTCCTTGGTAGTCCAGCCTAATTTCCTTCTCTGAACCTGAACCCAGTTTGTTAGAAAGCATGGCAGGGCCTCTGGAATTATTCTTGGGATCAATTTGAAAACTAGTCTATTGTTGACAATTTAAAAAGTTATTGTCATTTGCATATGCAATGACATTATTTTTAGTTGCTGAACAAAAATCATTTGCGAAATACTATTTTCTTCCTGTCCCCTCTTTTTCCCCCTATCTTATTCTCCATTGCCAATGGTTCTCAGAATGTCACAGGTTGGACACAGTTCTGGTGGACTGAGAACTCAAATCTTACGCCATATACGTTATTTTTTCCTTTTTTTTTTTTTTTAACAGTTTTGCTACAGGGCCCATGTGTTTCTGTGGGTGCGGATGGAGAGAGAAAGTGAGAAATTACCCCTCAGAGGGGGTTGGTCACAACGCAGTCCCTTCTCCATTTCTCCTCTCTGGATTTTCGGTATGCACACGCATGCTCCCAATGTGTTTTTTAAACTGTGATTCAAAACCTGCAGTCAGCCATACAGGATCCAGCCACCTTAATCGCTGTGCCACCGGCTAGCTAAATACTTAAAAAAATTTTTTTAAGGAAAAGATATTTATCTTTTGATGGGATGCCTAGTAATTTTTTTTTTCTACCAGTCATTATATTCTCACATGATTCACTTGATTTATTTTGAAGTTTTAGATGAAAAACCTTTTTTTGCTTCCATTTAATAAAAAAGCTTGATTGGAAGTTTTTGAAAACTTTAAACATGTAGAATATTGGATTAGTCTTTTATTAATTGCTGGTCTTTTTTCAATTGAAAACTGTCGTTTCTGATCACAGCCTAATTACTTGAATTACCAAGAAAATTTAAATTTAAAATGATTGATTTTTTTTCTTAAGGTCATGCCCAAACTTAAAAAAAAAAATGAGGGCTATTTAGAGGTTCTGAATTACTTCAGTTGACTTGGCCTCTAGTGTGTAGAACTTTCTGATAGGTGGTGGAAATGATGATAATGTACTACCAACAACTATTTCTGTATATAGAATTTAGTACCATCTTTTGGCACATGCACTCCTTCCCTGGGTTTCTCATTGTAGAGGGCCCCCATTCTGATGATCTTAAGCCCTTGACACTCCCCACAAAGCAAGACATCTTCAGAGATAAGGAAATGCCCAGAGCTTGTGTGCCTACCTCTAGACCACACTCTGGTACCTGGATCCTGCAGTTCTCTGTCCAAGTGGCCCTAAGCCCATTCCAGAAACTTCATAGGCATGTACTCTGAGTTTATATCCTTCAAAAGTGATTGAGCAGGTGGTGTGCACACCCTGAGGCCTGAGGCGTGGTGGGGAGCTATGGACAGGGCTTAGACACACAGACTGGGCTATCCACATGTGTGCACACTTCTGTGGTACAGGATGGAGCTTGGGTAGGAAGGTGGGCTAGAGTGTAGGCCAAGGGTTCCCTGTTTGTTCTCTTTTCCTGCCTTCCTGGGTTTCAGGGTGAATAAAGGGTTTGAAGTGTGTAGAAAGGAAATAAAGAGATGAAAGCAGCTCGGGTTTTAAGGTCTCTTTCAGTTTTGACAGATGAAGATTCTATAGTATTTCTGTTTCCCACATTCCTCAGAAGTCTCCTTGCTCCATTGAAGAATGGAATTTAATTAATGAAATGTTGGTTAAGGAAAAGGAAAACCACATCTGTACACAGAATTCTTCCAGCTGCTCGCTATTCAGCGCTTGAGTGGTAGCAATTATACCAAAGGCAGATACTGTAGACTCAAATGGATACGTCTTCCATAAAACTATGAAGATTTTTACCTCTGAGAGTATTGTTTCATCTTTTTTTTATTAAGTTAGCTGTTTTCTTTTTAGTGTCCTAAGTCTTGGTCAAGTTTAAGCAGAAAACGAATAGTTGTACATCTGTCTAAACAAAGCCTGCTAAAACCACAACTATCTTGTCAGTCCTTCCTGTTTTGGCATTCTCTATTTTTAAGAGGAACTTTTTTTTTTCATGTATGTGTGTATA